AATACTCAAGAGGGTAGGGAAATATAGCTCAGTGGTAGAACACCATAGGTTCAGTCCCCAGTACTGCAGGAAAGACTTTTGACTGTCTAAAAAAAGGAGTTGATTTTTTTCCTTGAGATTTCCACTTTGTTATTTGTCATTTTTCAATTATTAAAAAGCAACACTATGTATACAGAAACACTAGTGGTCCCTACAAACTGGGTAAGACAGAAGATAGGGAGGGGGTAGACCCTGTAATTCCAGTGACTCAGAAGGCTGAGGCCAGACAACCACAAGCTTCAGGTGAGCTTCATCAATTTAGTGAGTCCCTAAGCAACTTAGTAAGAATGTGTCTCAAAATTTAAGAGTAGGGTGCTGGGGGTGTAACTCAGTGTGGTAAATGCCCCTAGGTTCAATCCATAGTATCCACCCACCATTTCTGTCCCCACCTCAAAAGGGGAACAAAACAAAACAAAATCTGGGGTACAGTGACTTACAAATAGGCAAATAGGCAGAGAGATCTTTTAGGCCGTTTAACTCTGTCTGATTACTTAAAAAAAAAAAACTCATTTACACGTCAAAAACACCTTCATAAAGCTGCTATTTTTAAAAAACATTATTTTTGGATGGGTAACAGGGATTGAACCCAGGGGCACTCAACAACTGAGCCACATCCTTAGCCCTATTCAATATTTTATTTGGAGACATGGTCTCACTGAATTGCTTAGCAACTCACTTTTGCTGAGGCTGGCTTTGAACTCACCATCCTCCTGAGCAGTGTGCACCACTACATCCAGCATAAAGCTGCTTTTTAAAAAAAATATCAGGACAAGAGGCAAAATCTAAGACCTGAAAATTACATAATACTGTATCAATGTTAATGTCCTAATTTTGATCATTATACTGTTATTAAATAACAGAACCTGTGTCCTAGTTTGTCTTTCTGGTACAGAGGGGGAAAAAAAGTGCTAGGGCACTTTACCACTGAGCTACATCCCCAACTTTTTTTTTTTTTTTCTTTTTCTTTCTTTCCAGACAGAGTGTAACTAAGTTCTTCAGGGTGGCCTTGAATTTGAATTCTTCCTGCCTTTGTTTCCTTAGTAGCTAGTATTACAGGTGTGCAACACTGCACCTTGCCTATTTCCTAGTTTTAAAGGAAATACACTTTAGTATTTTTATGTTAAGAGGCATCACATCTCCCAAATTTTTCTGAAAGAAACTATGAAGACAGAAAAGAATGAGGGACCAGGTTGTGGCTGAGTGGTAGAGCACTTGCCTAGCATGCATGAGGCACTGGGTTAGATCCCCGCACCACATTAAATAAATAAATACATACATACAAACAAATAAAATAAAGGTGCTGTGTCCATCTACAACTAAAATATATATTTTTTTAAAAAAGAATGAAGTCAATTGGTAAAAAATTAACATTTCAGGTATGTGGGTGAGTTGAGAATTCTTCATACTATTCTTGAAACATTTTTGTAAATTTTAAATTATATGAAAACTTAAATTTAAAAAGGAATATCAGTAATTCTGAGTAGTGTTCTTCTTATTATTTTCTGCAAGTTTAAAAACTTTTAAACGGCTGGGCGCAGTGGTACACACCTATAATCCCAGCAGCTCCGGGGGCTGAGACAGGAGAGGATCAAAGGAGTTCAAAGCCAGAGACAGCAATGGGAAGGCACCAAGCAACACAGTGAGAGCCTGTCTCTAAATAAAATACAAAAATAGGGGTGGGGATGTGGCTCAGTGTCCAAGTGCTCCTGAGTTCAACCCCTGGTACCAAAAAAAAAAAAAAAAAAAAAAACTTTTAAAAGTTTTTAAAAGTAGAGAAAAGTATTTAAAAGTATAGAAAAGTGGGGCTGGGGATGTGGCTCAAGCAGTAGCACGCTCGCCTGGCCTGCGTGCGGCCCGGGTTCGATCCTCAGCACCACATAACAAACAAAGATGTCGTGTCAGCCAAAAACTAAAAAATAATTTTTCTCTCTCCCTTCCTCTCTCTTTAAAAAAAATAAAATAAAATAAAAGTATAGAAAAATATAAAAGCTAAGCCTAGGGCCTGGTTTTATGGCTCAGTGGTAAAGCACTTGCCTGGCAAGTGTGAGGCACTCGGTTCCATCCTCAGCACCACATAAAAATAAGTAAATAAAATAAAAGTACTGTGTGTCTACAATTCAAATGTTTAAAAAAAAAAAAAAAAAAGAAAGAGATGGACTGGGGTTGTATCTGAGTGGCAGAGCACTTGCCTTGCACATGTGAGGCACTGGGTTTGATCCTCTGCTCTACATAAAAATAAAAACAAAAATAAAGATGTATAACTAGGGGCTGGGATTGTGGCTCAGCAGTAAAGCGCTCACCTACCTAAAGGCATTGTGTTGTGTCCATCTACACCTAAAAAAAATTTTTGGAAAAAAAAAAGATGTATAACTAAAAAAATATTTAAAAAATAAAAAAGAAAAGACAAAAGGGGGAAGAAAAGGGATAAAAGCTGTTGAAGAAGCTCAAGAAGCTTTTAAAATCCCCTTGTATGAATGGCTATGGTAGTATAAGAACAGGCAATCAAGAGATTAAAAAATACATAGAATGTTTTCTTAATACAAGATTACTTTTAGTGACATTAATGATTTAATGATGCTAATGACAACTTTTGCTTTCAAAGCTATAATACCATTTTTCTCCAAATCATAAAAATGAGAAAAGTACTTATCTGTGGCCAAAATGGTACCATAAATGGAGAAATCCCAAATTCCTATCAGGTCTGAAGTCATTACCCAATATTAACATGAAATAATTTTATTTTAAAAATATATATTGAGGGGTCAGAGTTGTGGCTCAGTGGTAGAGTGTTTCGCCTAGCATGTGTGAGGCACTGGGTTCGATTCTCAGCATCGCATATAAAGATCCATAAACAATTAAAAAGATATATATATAAAATTGGGCTGGGGTTGTGGCTCAGTGGTAGAGTGCTTGCCTAGCATGCGTGAGGCACTGGGTTCCATTCTCAGCACCATATACAAATAAATAAAATAAAGGTCTGTCAACAACTAAAAAATACTTAAAATACATACACAGAGAGCGTCAATACAGTGCAATAAAAGACAAATCACAAAATTTAAAAATTAGTCAAAATATTATTAATATATGGTGCCTATATACAAGAGTGAAACAGCAAACTTTTATTTCCCTGACTTACAGGTACTCTACCAGAAGAAAAAACAAAACAAAACAGGAAAGGCATAGAAAATACCTTGTGACCATAAAACAGAAAATCTGATAATGGTTATCTCAAAATTATTTAATAAGCATTTTTATTTACTTTTATTGGCAAGTCTTCATTATCTTACTTAATTCCCAAATTATCAAATGTAAATTCATTAATTTGGGGGCAGGTACTGGGCTTGAATGCAGGGGTGCTCTACCACTGTGCTACATACACTCCAGTACTTTATATTTCTTATTTTTTGTGACAGTGTCTGGCTGAACTGCCAAGGCTTGCCTGGAACTTGCTCTTCTCCTGCCTCAGTCTCCTGAATGGCTGGGATTACAGGTGTGAGCCATGCGGGCTTGTTGCTCACTTTACTTGTCCAACTGAACACAGCAAGTGGGTGGAGACTCCCAAGGCTCCCCACTGTCCTGAAATTACCAATATAAAGACTCTACTGTCTGTTTCTAGCAATAACATACCAATAAGAAAGAAATCAATTCGAGAGTTAGTTATGGCTTTGCTTATGAAAGTCTAATCAGAGTACACTGGAATAAATGTGATTACTATTATAACACTCGTTTTACAGATGAAGAAAACCAAGGCTTTAAAAAAATGAATTATTAGAATAGTATAACATCTACTTGAATCAGGAGAACTGATGATCAACTGAACGACTTCCTTGGACTCTTAAATGTTTTGGTAATAAAAATTAAAAGTTTCTCTTCAATCTTTTACAATTTATCTACAGGATAACACAGTACCAACTGCATACAGAAATCCTCTACACTACTTTATAAATTCTTCTGTAAATCTAAAATAACGTCAAAATAAAGATTTTTTAAGTGGTAAAAACAACAAAAAACTTCTACAAAAATGAAACAAATCTTGACACATTGTCAACTACCTAATACACAGTACTTCCCAATAAAGCGGTCTAGTGCAAGAGAAGTCCAATGTCTTCCCTCCTTTTGGTCTGCTTCACTCTGCCCAGTATTAAAAACAGCCTTTCCATGACCATCTAAATCTATATTACATAACATCAAAATAACCTTCACACTCCTATATCTATTCTAAAAAACATACTTAAAAAGCAATACTTAAGACCAAGGAACGGTAAAAATGAAATAACATTTTAATGCCGAGGCTGGTAATCACTTAAAATGAATGGAAACAGATTACTGCATCTTTCAATGCGGAAAGGCGGCAGGAAGGCAAAACTCATTACAACCTTAAGCAAGCCAGGAATATGCTAAAAAAAAAAAAAAAAAAAACAGGTGAGCATTAGCTAAATTCGAGTGGGACGGGCTCTAGATGGCCAAAGTGAAAGAAATCCGTTGGTGGCCAGCACCTCTCTAAAAAAGATGGGTGCAGACTGGCTTCAAGGCCTGGGGCCAATGTGTCCTAGGCCCGAAAAAACCTACAGGGGTGCTGTGCAAGCTCCATAAAGAAAGGAACCTCAGGGAAATGCCCCCCAGGGGCATACCGATCATTTTGTGACTAACGCGCAGCCGAGATGGGACCAAAGCGATTCACTCCGTAGCAGAACGTGAAAGGGAAAGGGAAATTGGGCGACAATGCAAAGAGGAACGCTCAGGCGGTAAGGCCGGCCTCCACGGGCTCCTGGGCCCACTGGTTTTCGAGGCCTCAGAGAAGCGGAGAAACCTAAGCCTCGTGCCCGTCCCCTCCCCCACCCCAGCCCTCACCCCTACCCCACCCCACCCCACCCTTTCGCAGCCACCCTGGCTTTTCCTCTTCCTCCAGCTGAGGTACCCGGTCCTCCGGTTTCCACAGGCGTTCAGAGGCGTAAACTCACCCGCCGCTAAGAAAACGGTACTGTCTTCGCGGCCCTCTGGGCTCCACGTTACGAATGGGCTCCACCGGTTCGAGGTTTCTGAGCGCCGCTCGCCCGGGAGACTAATTCCGAAGCGCCTATTTGCACAGGCCGCAAACACAGCCGCGATGCGCGGGGAGCTTCTGGAGGTCTTCCTCTTGCCCGGCATGCACTGCGACCGGGGGCGTGGAGTAGAGAACCATAGAGAGGAACATGTATAGAGAGTCTCCTCTGTTGGCTTGGACTCACCACGCAGAGCCGAACAACCATAGAAAGGGACCGCCTGGTGGGGACTAGAAAGGCTGGAGCCGAAAATTAGGACCCACCCTGCCATTTTTGATTGGAGCTGACTGAATCTTATGACTACGCGACGCCATCTTGAGGTCAAGGTTCCTGCTGGGCGCTGCACGAGGCTTGTTGGAGGATTTTTCACTTTTCATGGTTGGTTTTCTGGGAATTAGAACCTTGCTTTCTCATTCACTAAGGTTCGATGCACTCATAACTGGTCCCGGCCAAGAACCTCAGTAGAAACCCCAAGTGCTAATTTTTCCCTAAAAAACACCTACTCTTCCTTTTTTTTTTAAGCGACCACGCACACTGAAACTTAACGATAGTGAGATCAAAGAGGTAACTAGAAGATGTTTGAAATACATCAAAGAGTCTGTAAGAATATCTGATGTAGTTTTCATTCTGTAATATAAACATTCTGAAAAGAACTTCACTTGCTCAATTAGTGAAAATAAATAAAACTAATAATAAAACTAATCGCAAATTATCAGGTGATTCAATTTAGGGACTTTTTTTAAAAATATTTTTTAGTTGTCAATGGACCTTTATTATTTATTTTTATGTGGTGCTGACAATCGAACCCAGTGCCTCACTCATGCAGCAAGCGCTCTACCACTGAGCCACAGCCCTTATTATTTTCTAAAAAATATTTTTAGTTGTACATGGACAGGATACCTTTATTTTGTTTAGTTTTTTAATGTGGTGCTGACCATCGAACCCAGGGCCTCCCACATGCTAGACTAGCGCTCTACCACTGAGCCACAACCCCAGCCCCAATTCAGGGACTTTTAAGCAATATCTACTTTATAGACCTTTGTTTCCTGACTGCTTGCTTCTCAGGAAGTTTGCAGTTCATTCGATATGAAAGTATTACATCCCTGGGTGCCTAGGCTGTGAGAAGTGCAGAAGTATGAAGGCAAAGGGCGAGTGAGATTTGTATCCACCCTAGAAGAACTGCAGTCGAAGTAGAATCACAAACCCTGACCACCCTACATAAAACTGAAACATTGCTGCACACTCCTTTTTTGCCTTTCCTACTTAATTTTGATCTATAGCACCTATTACAATCTACCACACTATGTATTTTTCTTATTTTATGGTCAGCTTGCTCCTACCCTACTAGTATATAAATTTAAGGATGTTTCATTCACTTTTGTAATCACAGTGCCTAGAACAAGTGCCTGGTATTGAGCAAAATACTCATTATTAAACTATTAGTGAACGTAAGTATTACCATATCATAGGTACCAACAGAACAAATACAATGGGAGCCCAAAGGGGAGACTCTGTATGTAATAATACTGCCATCTCGAAATTTTAAATTCCTCTTTATTTCTCCTTATAAAGGTTAATACTTTCTCTCCAGGGCTTTATCAAGGAATGTATGTGAAAGTACTTTGTTCGTTAAAATGCTAATTAAGTGCAATTTTCATTTTGTAGATGAAAGTCTGTGCCTTGCCAGGTGTGGTAGAGAATGCCTGGAATCCCCACTACAAAAGTTGGAAGGCTGAGGCCAGAGGATGGCAAATTTAGGCCACTCTCAGCAATTTAATGAGATTCAGTCTTAAATTTAAAAAATAAAAATAAATAAATAAAGGACTGGGACTATAGCTCGATAGTAAAGTGCCCCTAGGTTCAATCCCTAGTCAAACAGGGGAAAAAAAAAAAAAAAATCTGTGCCTTTTTTACAATCAGAAGGATAAACACTGAGGTTACTCTGTATTACTTTGTATTGTTAGAAACATTGTACTTTAATTTGTGTGTTACTTGTCCTTAAAGAGATAGTAGGGTGCTGTGGGGTGCCGTGTTGCATGCCTGTAATCCCAGTGACTCTGGAGGTTGAGGCAGGAGGATCACACATTCAAAGCCAGCCTGAGCAACTGAGTGAGGCCCTAGCAAGGGGGCTGGGGCCACAGCTCAGTGGCTGAGTGTTTGCCTAGCATCTGTGAGGTACTCAGCACCACATAAAAAACAAATTAATAAACAAAGGTATGGTGTGTCCCTCTACAACTAAAGTAATAAATAAAAATAAATAAATAAAGTGCTCCTAGGTTTGATCCCCAGTACAAAAAAAAAAAAAATATTGGGCTGGGATGTGGCTCAGGTGGTAGCGCACTCACCTGGCATGCGTGCGGCCCAGGTTCCATCCTCAGCACCACATACAAAGATGTTGTGTCCGCCGAAAAACTACATAAATAAATAAATAAATATTTTTTTAAAAAAATCTAAACAGAAAACTTCAAACCCAAGATTCAGAGCTTAAAAAAGAAGACACATATAGCAAAATTAAAGTGTATCAGGAACATTCAAACAGACAGATGACTTGGTCTCTGGCTCCTCTAAACTAGTTCAGTGGGATATAGAATTTAATATCTTCAAATTCAGTGTATAGTTGAAGATGATAAAGCTGGAGGAGCACATCACTGCTTTTGTGACTATATTCAGGCCATGGGCATAGCTGCTAGTAACAAGATCTATAAAATCCATTCCAGATATATCATTGCACTTAAATAAAACCTTGAGGGCTGGGGTTGTGGCTCAGCGGTAGAGCACTCGCCTAGGCGTGTGAGGCCCTGGGTTCCATCCTCATGCACCACATAAAAATAAATAAAGGTATTTAAAAAAAAAAAAAAAACTGTGAAAAATAATTTAAAAAACTTGAAAGATTTTTTTTTTAATGGCAACAAAATGATAAACTGAAGAATGAAAAAATAAATAAAAATAAGATCTAGTCAATAGACCTCAAATGAAACATGGTGGAAGGAATTTACTTGGTGTTTTGGAGTCAACTACAGATTGACAGATTTAAATGCTCTGCTAAAAATTGACAAATCAGGGCCAAGGGTTGTGGTTCAGTGGTAGAACACTTGCCTATCATGTATGAGGCACTGGGTTCAATCCCTAGCACCACATGAAAATAAACAAATATAATAAAGATATTGTGTCCATCTACAACTAAAAAAATTTTTTTTAAAAATTGGCAAGTCAGGGATTGGGGTTGTAGCTTAGTGGTATAGCACTCGCCTAGCACGTGTGAAGAGCTTGATTTGATCCCCAGCACCATATAAAATAAAGGCACTGTATGGAGGAGTGGAATATTGAGAATGCTGAGGAACTTGACAACCACCTGGCTATACCAGATCTTGGTATAAAAATTGCCAAGACACTTGCCTACCACAACCTTGAAAAAGCGAAAAAGGAGGTTGAAATTTCACAAACTGTAAAGAAATTCATATAGGGAATTGAAAGAAAAAAGAGAAACATGGGATCTATGCAACTTGACATGGGATCTGTACAACTTGTTGGAGTTCTTCAAAACATTTGTGGACTCACATGCTCAATTTATCGAAGATATTCCTGCTTGTGTTAAATTGATAAAATAAACATAAAATTGCCAGGTGCTATGGCACAGGCCTGTAATCCCAGTGACTTGAGAGGCTGAGACAGAAGGATCAAAGGTATAAAGCCAGCCTCAGCAAAAGTGAGATGCTGAGCAACTCCGTGAGATCCTATCTCTAAATAAAATACAAAATAAGGCTGGGGATATGGCTCAGTGGTCAAGTGCTCCTGAGTTCAATACCCAGTACCAAATCTTATTGAAGTGAATGAAATGAAATATTATTTGTAGAAAAAAATCTAAATATACATTGCCGCAGTCTGGCTGGGCACAAAATAACCGAGCCACCACAAAAGCCTTGTAGATTCAAACAGCAACTCTTTATTCTCGAACTGTCACCGGCACTCTACACGCACGTTCTGGGAAAATTCACACACTCCACCGGGCTCTGCATACCAAAATACCCTCTGAATCCTGAGAGAACTCAACGGGAACTCAAGGAGCGGGAACTCAAGGACCGGGCGCCTGAGGCAGCAGGATACGCCCTATTCCCAGCAGGATCCACCCTAAACCGGATCCACCCTAAACCCGGATCCACCCTGGTCCTTGAGCAGGGTCACCTTTCTCAAACATTCATGCAATGTCACTGCAAATGACCTGGGTCCAAGGCAAGCCCATTTCCACAATGGAGAGTCCTCCCTCTAAGCAACATTGGCTAGGCTGACAAGGAAATTGCCATGCATCATTCCTACTTGGCTATGGCTCTCAGCATCTCCCCCCTTCTGATTAATTAAACAACAAGCAATGTGGCTTAGGGACCGTGCCTGTTAGGTTGTCCAATTCAACATATGGTTCTTACCCATCATCGGATGAGCTGACCTCTAGGCGTCAGCCTCCTGTCTTTAGGTTGGTACCACTGCAATTGGATCATACCCGTCACTGACTACCGGTCCAGCATACAGCCATACTGTGGATAGGCCTATGCACCAGTGGGGGGGTGAGGTTCTTTGCCTTACCTCTGTTGGCCCCCAAATTTGGCCTTTGCACCAGTGGGGGGGTGAGGTTCTTTGCCTCACCTCTGTTGGCCCCCAAATTTTAGACCATCACTAGCAGAAGGGAGGAGGATACAGAAATGCCACGACACCAAGCCAATTGACGGCTCTTTTGGAAAAATTGTATCACCGGTGACACCATCAGCAAAGATATGCCAGCACTACCACAATTCGCTGCACCAACAGATAGTTCACAATGCATACATGTGATACATAATCCAGGCAAGTTCTGCAAGCAGTTCAAAGCGGAGGAATCTATCAATATGTCCATTTCATCCCAAAGTAAATCGACTCCTTGATTTGAGCATTACTTGATGAGTTATTATTCATTGATGCATCAGTTTATACAGTTTACTGTGATAGCTATCAAAGAAGCTGTAGTTTGGTTTTATCTTTGTCTTCACCGGCACTGGGATGAAGATAGGAATTCTGGCAATGATGCTAAAAAGAAATTATGTAACATTACATTATCCTGAACAGAATTATTAAATATAATG